GCATGCTCTGCCAATAGTTAGAAATGGCACTATAGTAAGCAGTGTTTAATAAACAGCAGTTTTTCTAAATTCTGCTGAGGTGAAATTCAGTGCAGCCCTGTATCGTGATATGTATCGTGGCCTCTGTATCGTGATACGTATCGTGACTTTGCTGGTGATACACAGCCCTAGTATCCACTGAAAAAACACTCTCCGCACAAACTGCAGCGCACATTTATCTAGGTTTAACGTTTAAACATTGCTCACTTACATAAATGAACTATAGTGTCCTGCACCCACTAGTAAAAAAAATATCAAAAATTATATCTGGTCTAAAAATGATTATATCTGAATAATTTTTGGTTTCACTGTATATCCTATAGAATATTTTCAGAAATAGAAGTCACGTTTTTTCATCTGAAACGTGCTGCGATTTATATTCCAAAGCCACTCATATAATAATGCAGAAACACTCAAGCAAGCAAAACACGCACAACATGTGCACGTATTTGTACTGATGCTGAATAGTACAGCCTAGAGCATTTCACACAGGCTGCTAGATTCACTTTCGCCAGAAAGTCGTGTATGCCTACGGTTAAAAATAAATGACATTTATAGTGAATGCCCCTATATCGGCGTTTGGTATCGGGGCATTTTAACGAGTACGAGTACAGGAGACCAGTATCGGGCCCGATACTGATACTGCATCCCTAGTTTATATTAAAGAAATATATTTTGAAATGACACCAAGCATATACTTACATATATGACTTGAGTTTGGATAAACACTGGCACTAGCAAATACATGTTTACATTAGGGGTGTGCGATATATATCGTCTGCGAGGTACCAGCACAATAACACACTCAGCAAAATATTGTCTAATTATCGTTATCGATAAAATCCCATAAAATATCGAGATATAATTTTTTGTCAATATCGCACACCCCTAGTTTACATGTTTGTGTTTGTTTGTTTGTTTGCTTGTTTATTTTTTCTTTATTTTGTTAACCTATAAGCTTCATTATTACCTTGTAATATTATTTATTATTAATAGAATTTTTTTTAATGTTTTTGAAAAGTTTCTTGTGCTCACCAGGGGTGCATTTAGGCCTATTTGATCGAAATGCAGGAAGAAAAAAAACAGTAATATTGTGCTATATTATTACAGTTTAAAAAAAAACTGTTATGAATATATTTTAAAGTGTAATTTATTCCTATGATGGCAAAGCTGAATTATCAGCAGCCATTACTCAAGTCAGATTTTTTTGGTGCTTAAGAAACATTTCTTATTATCAATGTTGAAAACTGCTTATTATTTTTGTGAAAACCGTGATACATTTTCCTATTAAGAATTATTTGACAAATGGAAAGAACAGCATTTATTTCAAAATAGAAATCTTAAACATGTTAAATGTCTTTTATATAAGCTAGTGTAATGTATATAGGTTGCAAGAACTGAGAAGTGTGGCTGTTTATAAACTCTTTGTAAGCTCCATATTCTGTCAATTTAATTTCAAGCTGATAAATGTTCCCAGTGTGTGTGGGTTGAGATGAATGTCCTCTCGTCCTCTGATGTGCTGCAGGTAGTGCTCTCATTAAATGTGGGGAGACTGAGAAGCTGTTAGGCAGCGCAGAAAAAGAGCTCATTCAGAGCTCCGCCATTAATTTCCTCACTCCCTTTAGGAACTTCATCGAGGGAGATTTTAAAACCATATTGGTGAGGATCAGCATACCACTAAACATGCTTTCTTTTTATTATATTATATAATATCTTTTAAACTGTTTAATTTCTCTGTTGTTGTGTTCTTTCTTCACAGAAAGAACGCAAACTGCTTCAGAATAAGCGTCTAAATCTGGATGCAGCCAAAAACAGACTGAAGAAGGCCAGAGTGGCTGATGCTCGCTCTGCAGTTAGTATTACAGACACACACACACATACAGAATGTAACAGTCAGCAGTTTCAGTTTAACCATACGTTCGGTTTTACAGCTTGTTCAGATGAGATATGAATTTAGAGAAGATAAGCCTGAAGGGTGAAAGCTGTCTTTCATCTTTCCCCAAGCTAGCCGCCGGCTGTCTTATGCTCTTAGTGCAGTGTAACTAACAGAGATGATGCTTGTGTTAAATGCCCTTTTGCGTGCGTGCTGCTGTCTTTGAATCTCTAACCTCTCTTATCTCCCCAGTTGTCTCTCATTATGTCTCTCTCTGTCTGCTTGCCTGCCTCCGTCTGAAGGAGCTGAACTCAAGCCCTCCGCTGGGAGAGGAGTATGTGGCTCACTTTTCTTACATGCTCAGCTTCTTGCATGTCAGGTGGCTAAAGGTTTGTCTGCTGTGTCTAATAGAACATCAGCCCTCTTTTGCCCTTCACAAATCTTAGGAGAGATGTCAAAAATCGTTCTGTGAGCAGAACATTTTATGTTCAAAACCACATTTTGATAAACACATGCTTGTATTTCTGTCCAGCTGAACAGAAATAGACGCGTTAATTCAGCATGTGTTTTTGTGTTCGTTGATAACCTCATATTTGGTAAATGTGCATCTTAGTTTGTGAGATGTGCTTAGCATGCTATTTATTTAACTTTGAGGGCAACAGAATGCAGTTACTGTGTTTGGCGTAATTGTTTTTGTCTTCTGTCTATTGATAATGTATGAATATCTGTGCCTGTGTGGTCTCAACTAACAGGATGATTTGTATTAAAGATGCACAATATTACTTATTTCATCCAATATTAGATTTTTTTTTTTTTTTTAATTGTTCAGATCAGCCAGTATTGGGTGTTTTGTGATGAACATTTCTCCCTATTTTACATTAGTTTATTACCTTTGACATCATCCAGCGTTCACTTTTTTAAAATATTTAAATAACTAATAATTTTATAACACTGTAAAATGTAATTTTTACCAAAAAAAAAAGAATATCCATTATTATACTGTTCTTTATAATGTTGTGATGCCTAAATTCACTTGTAGCATTTAAAACGGTTGATTTTAGTGTTTTGTTCTTTATTAAAACAAAATAGTATAGATTTTATTTGAATACTTTTTTATATTAATATCCTTATTTTATAATGCTATAAATTATAAATGATCATATTGATTAAGTATATCAATGTGCATTATAATACGTTTCAAAATGGTATAAAATACTTTCGAATGCAATATTCATTACTTTAGTAAACCTAAAGGGGAATGTGTTTGGCTCATGTTTCAGTGTTGCATGTGCTCACACCTGTTGTGACAGTGGATGATTCAAGTCTTCTTCCCTTTGTTGCGAGCTTCACATTATTCCTTGTAGACAGTGAACAGCTCGCTGTTTTGGTTCCTCCCAGTGAATGTGTCTGTGCATGAATGGTGACACCATTCAACTTGCATAACGGCTCTAGACGGTTATGAAAGCTGTTGATTGTGAGTAGTGATGGGTTTGTGTGGTTTAAGTTGATGTTTTTGCTTGGCCTGACGAGTTTGTTACTGTTTCTGAATGCTGGCCAGCTGTGGGCTGAGGAGGTGCAGCAGGTGAGTGTGCTTGAGTCTTTCCTCCCCAAAGCCTGTTGAAGAAAACACATCTTTTATCAGGGAAACACCTGCCCTGCTCTGATAGTGCTGTCTGATATGAACTCACCCTGCCACGTGAATGAGGATCTGCTCTTGCATACAACTCAAACACATTCTTGTGTCCAGCAGAGGGAGCTACAAAGTTGTTTATATTCCCAGTTCCCACCTGCCTCTGTGTCTCATTAACTTTGCACAGATACCAGCTCAGGCAATATGTTTATGTAATTCTGAGCCTGTTGATGTGGATATATGTGCGTGTCAGCCACAGTGATTTTTTTTTTATGTATATTATGTGTGTGTTTCCCTTAGGCAGAGACAGAACTGAGGATAGCACAGAGTGAGTTTGACCGGCAGGCCGAGATCACCAGACTTCTGCTGGAGGGTATCAGCAGCACACATGTATGCTCACACATCCTTTGTGTCTAGCAGTGTTTCCTCCTGCAGCACCACAGCAAAAAGAAATGATGCTTTACCCAAGTTGAAGGGATAATTCTGTCATCATTTACTCCCCCTCATATTGTTCCAAACCTGTATGACCTTTTTTGATCACCAAGACGGTTTGTTACCAACATTCTTTAAAATATCTTCTTTTGTGTTCAGCAGAAAAAAGAAAGTCATACAGGTTTAGAATGAAATGAGGTTGAGTTAATGATGACAAAACTATTCCTTTAAGCTTTTACAGTTTGAATTGAATGTGGTGGGTGTTGCAAAATAACATCAAACACTCATCAAAAGCTAATAGCATGACTAGTATACAAGTGAATGACTTTTATGAGCCTGTTCTTTTAACGAATCACTCATTTAATGAATCAGTCAAAAGACTCATCCTAATGAATGATTTCTTATGGGCCTGTTCTTTTAATAAATTGGTAATTTAATGAATGAGTCAAAAGGGTAATTCTTTGAATCAGTTCTAATTAATGGTTCTTATGAGCCTGTTCTTTTAATGAATCAATAATTTAATGAATCAGTCAAAAGACTCATTCTTTGAATAACTTTTAATGAATGACTTATGAACCTGTTCTTTTAATGAATCAGTCAAAAAGGCTTATTTTTTTAATCAGTCTTGATGAATGACTTCTAACGGCCTGTCATTTAATGAATCAGTCAAAAGACTCATTCTTTGAATAACTTTTAATGAATGACTCTTATGAGCCTCTTCTTTTAATGAATCAGTCAAAAAGGCTTATTTTTTTAATCGGTCTTGATGAATGACTTCTAACAGCCTGTCATTTAATGAATCAGTCAAAAGTCTCATTCTTTAAATCAGCCTTAATCAATTATTCTTATAGGCCTGTTATTTTAATGGGTCAGTCTAAATTAAATACTCTATGAATTTGTCAGAACAGATCCGACTGGTTTTAAATACAAACGTTTAAAAGCGCTTTAAATATGTTAGGATTACTATGCATTCGTGACTAATTATAGATTCTGGGAAACAGTGCTGTATACATTCATGTACATTTTATGTATGTAATATGCGCTGATGGCTGTGCTCTCCTCTTTGTGATCAGGCTCATCATTTGCGCTGTCTGAATGATTTTGTGGACGCTCAAGCTGCATATTATGCCCAGTGTTACCAGTACATGGTCAATCTGCAGAAACAGCTGGGAAGGTTGGCTCACTTTTATATCTCTGCGCATTTGTTTGTAATATTTATGCATTTTTTACACCAAATCCTCTGTTTTATGCTAAATGCATCCGTAATGGAATCATCTGTTCTCTCAAACAGTCAAAATGCAATGTAAGCAATGTTTTTTATTTCTTGATAAATGTATATACATATGTGCATTTCTATATTTTAACTGTTTCCATATTTCTTCCAGCTTTCCATCCACATTCTCTAATAACAATCAGCAGGCTGGCAGCTCTTCTGCCAGCATCTCAGTTCCCACGGCACAGCCAGCCGCCTCACTGCCCGCTCCGCCGCCCAGCCAGACCTCACCCGCACTCAACGAGCTCCGCAGCACCTCAGGCACCCGCAAGGCTCGTGTGCTCTACGACTATGACGCTGCCAGCAGCAGTGAGCTCTCTCTACTCGCCGATGAGGTGGGCCTTCATCATGTCATTTCAGATTGTCATAAAATGAATTATTATTTGTCTTAATGGTCAAATATTTCCCCGTCAGGTGATCACCGTGAGCAGTGTGCCGGGCATGGACACTGATTGGCTGATGGGGCAAAGGGGGAATCAGAAAGGCAAAGTGCCATTTACCTACTTGGAGCTGCTCAATTAAGGTCAGCGAGAAGTGCAAAAAAAAATTCACATTGTAGATGTGATTTGACAAGAGTAACTCTCCAAATGTGATCAGAGAAAGATCAGAGTTTAATGTAGCGCGAAGCAATATAAAAGTCTTCTACACTGCCATGTCATGTTGTGTGAACGTCTCCTCTGCTATTTGAGGTGCGTCATAGTAGCCTTACAGTAACGAAAAGCAGTCCAAGATTGCCAACTATTCAGATTTATGTGCCAACTGAATTTTTTACAGCTAAACTAATTGATTTTGCTATAATGTGCTATGATGCTCTAATAAATATTATATAAACCTAGTTGGTGCAGTTTGAGATCTTTCATTTTTCTTAAAAAAAAAAAAAAAATTTTGTTATGATTGTCTTGTTTCAAGGTCACAGACCAAGCTGCACACACTGGATGCTAATTTTGAAAACCACCATAGTAACAGTGAACTGATACACTGGCATGAATCTTGACCACTGGGTGGCAGTATTTTCAATTTGTGAAGATATGTAAACACTGCAGCTAAAATCTACTAACATACCTCTTAATAATGGTGCGGAGTGTAATTTCACTGTAGTGGCGCCAAACAGAACCAGAACTGCAAAAATAGTGACAGTGTGTGGAAACCGTTTCCAAACACTCCCTTGTCTGTGCAAAAGCTGTGTTATTGTTAACTAAAATGAAAACTTAAAAAAAAAAAAAATCAAATTAAAAACTACTAAATGTTGCCTTGGCAACTAACTGAAATAAAGTGTTTTAGTAACACAGAGGACAATAGAAGCAATCAAAACTAACAAAAGAGCAACAATATGTAAGTGCAAATGACAAGTCTCGGGTAGCCCAACGCAGTACACGTAGCAAGGGTTTTTTGTTTTTTAATTGTATAATAAATAAAAAGAAAAATAGATAGAATACAAAAAGATTAGAGCTTTTTTTTTTTAGAGAGTAGACAGTGCTAGAGTTAGAGGACCAAATAAAGATGGAAGAGATGTGTTTTTAGCTGATTCTTGAAGGCTCGGATTGAGTTGCGCAGGTCATTCCACCAAGAGGGAACATTTCATTTAAAAGTCCGAGAAAGTGATTTGGTGCTTCTTTGGGATGACACAATAAAGCGCCGTTCACTTGCAGAACGCAAGCTTCTAGAGGGCACATAAGTCTGAAGTAATGAATTTAGATAAAGGGGTGCAGAGCCAGTGGTGGTTTTGTAGGCAAACATTAATGCCTTGAATTTTATGCAAGCAGCTATTGGTAGCCAGTGCAAACTGATAAACAGAGGTGTGACGTGCATTCTTTTCGGCTCGTTAAAGACTACTGTTGCTGCCGCGTTCTGGATTAATTGTAAAGGTTTGATAGAACTGGCTGGAAGTCCTGCCAAGAGTGCACTGCAATAGTCCTGCAGTATAATTACTGCAATAGTAATTATATAAATAATTCTAAAATAACAATGGTTAGGCTGCTTTTTGGGAAATACAACCTACTTATAGTTCTTATAGTCCTTGCACATTAAGCTGGAATAGAAAGTATTTCAACAATAAAAATGATAAACATCAGTTTTCTGTTCCCCAGATGTCAGATTCATTACACTTACAAATGCTTTTTATTAACATACTTTGTTTTGTGGTCAAAGATAATCATACATATCCGTCAAACATAGTCTTTAATTTAACAGTACCATTATCTATCAGAATGACAGAATATTGAGAATTTTATTTTGGTTGAAAATGTCGAGTTTCACAGCAAATTCATGCAACCCCCATCACAATAACTAGGTTGTGTTTGGAATGGCACTTCAAAGTGAAGTTCGTTACAGGGGAGTCATTAGGCAGCAGAATCAAATGAGCACGTACTGTACATGAAACACTCATCTGAAACGGTGAGTACCGATGGGACGTCGTCTAAGTTTCATTTTAGAGGCTTCATGAGGAGAAAGTTGGGAGAAGTTGATAGTTGCATACACAGACTGACGTGATATCGACGGACTTCGAGTGACGGCCTCCAGGAAGTTAATACAGTAATAAATCTCAACACGGTCTACTTTTATCTTGTGCAGAACCCTTTGAAACTTGAAACATCATCATGGGTTACACAAAAGTATCAAATTACATACAAAAGCTAGTAGTAGGGCACTGTGGATAGCTGGCATACATTGAAAACTTGAAAATAAATTAACCAACATATAAAGAAGTCCTCTCTTCAAGCAGGGCTCTTTTGATGAAGCGTGTCCGTACGATGACTTGCAGCAGTAGTCGTGTTAGTGCCGGAAAGTGGAGCGGTTGAGCAGTAGTAGCTGTCTTTTTCAACGTTAATAGTAAGAGCAGGAATGCCCTCCCACGAGGTTCCACAATGTCTGGGAGTGATGCCGTGATTGTAACCAACCCATAAAGTGCTTTCGCAATAGGACAATAAAAATAAACATTACACTGGGATTAAAAACACAAGTCCAGGCACAACCGCAAATGTACCGAGTCTTTCATTTTTTGAACGGTGTCAAGCGTCCGATATTGTGCCAGAAATTGGAGGTCTTGCGTTTGGGTTCGGCCAACATGATGACCTGCTGCTGGGGCAGGGAGGTGGGAAGCGTTGGGTGCTTCTGACGCAGCAAGAAGTCATAGTAGGGCCTGGTCACAGCTGCGGGGAGGAGGACATAAACAAAAGGTCAGGACCTGAGAGATTTCGGTCATTAGAGAACAGGACACGGATGTAGACATGGGTTTAGCAGACTAGTGTGTTTTGGTCAGCTGGTTATGTGTGTTTGAGCCAGACCAGTTATGCTGATATTATTGAATGATATGCAGTAAATGGGTTTAGTGTGTAAGGGAAGGATGGGTTGCCAGTGAATTACAGAAACTTTATCAGTTACTGTAAATAAAAGCCTGAGGTGTCGATACAGATTTTCTGATTTAATTCCATTTGATCATTCATATGAAAGTGATTCTCACCTCAGCTAATGCTGTACATCTTGTACGTCACAAAAATTCATGCCAGTTATCATACAATAACTGCATCATAAAAAAAATTTAAATGCTCCGTGAACACTTATAACTGCTTTTCTTATGCACAACCATTATTTTTATCTTATTATAATAATTAAAATATAAACTCACATATTTCAGTTATAAATTCCCATGAAAGAGTGGCGAAAGTTCAATGATTCGTAAAAACGCCCAGCTCATAAGAGCCATTTGATTGTGAATCAGATTACATTGTTCTGCATGTTGATATACTTAAAATAAAAGTTTCATTTTAAAAGATTCATTTGTTTGTGAATTGGGCTACACTGGTTGTGCTGTGCATTTTGATTCACTAAAAAGAACTGGTTTAAGAGAGTCATTTATTTGTGAATCAGACTACATTGTTTGCTCTGCAAGTTTTTGATTTACTAAAAATATCCAGTTTAGATTCACTAAAAATAACCATTTTAAAAGATTCACTTGTTTGTGAATTGGGCTACACTGGTTGTGCCATATGTTTTTGATTCACTCAAAAGAACTGGTTTAAGAGAGTCATTTGTTTGTGATTCACACTACATTGTTTGCTCTGCATGTGTTCGATTCACTAAAAAGATCCTGTTAAGAGTCATTTTTCAGTCTACACTGATCACTCCTATGTTTTTGAGTCACCAAAAAGAACCAAAGGGTTTAAAAGATTCATTATTTAGCTGATTGGACTACACTGCTGTATGCTACTTTGTATGATGTTATTTTACTTAAAGGGGTCTTGAACTGAGAAATCAAAATTCCCTTGATGACATATCTAAACTTTCTCGCTAGTCTAAAAACAGCTTATATTGAAACCAATCTGTCAAAACAACATCTTGTGGAATGTGCCACTTTATGATGTAATAGTGTGGCTAAACCCCGCCTCCGCAGGAGAAGATCAACACCTGCTTCTACATCGCTACCTGTTTAGCCCCGCCCACCGATTCATGCACATAGTGTAAATAACAGAGGCAAACACAGGTCTACACAGAAACCAAACGATAAAGAGGCTCTGAAGACAACAAGACGCTGTGCAGTGCCAAGCTGTGGAAAAACAGTCTTTGCATTGCCTTCCTTCTGATCCCAACATTAGAAAAAGATTTCTAAAAATTAGAAATTTTTAATGAAGATCCAGACCGCGTCAGTAAGAACTTGGTCCTTAGTTCACTTCATTTTACCGCGGATTCGTTTACAAACAAGGTTCAATTCGACACAGGATTTTCAGAAAGATTGAAACTAAAAGACGATGCTGTGCCGACTATATTGGATCCGACAGTAATGTCGCACCACACAAGTGTGAGTAACTGTTTTTATTAAGTGGTTACTATTGCTTTGTCTGTTATTGTTACTCATTTGATATGTACTGAGTATTTATGTGTTTTTAACCTAAATCACAGCAGCATCCATCTGTGAAGGATGTAGGCTATCAAACACAACGGTTAGCCAATCATAGCAGTGGGCGTTTACTTCCGAGTCTACAATCCGCCACGACTATTCAAACAGAGCGTTCTGATGAGGGGGGTCAAAACGGCAGAAAATACTGGATTCTAAATTGTTTTTTTTTTAATGTAAAAATCTTGATAACATTATAAGTGAACCTCAGAGAACAGTACAAAATAATAATAAAGGCAGTTCATGACACCTTTAAAATATGTTATAAAAGAGTCTTTTCTTCATGAAATCGGACTACATTTTTTGTTCTGTATGATACTGATTCACTAAAAAGATCTGTTTTAAAAGTCATTTGTTTGTGAATCAGACTACACCCGTTTTTTTTTGTGTTTTTTTTTCTGGCAGATTCAGCAGTGGTGGTGATTTAGAAGTGCAGGAAAAGAACTGATCTTATTTTAAAGAATCAATATTGATATTCTAATGATGATCATGAAAAATCAGAAAATCAATATCTTTACCCAGCCTCAGTTAAATAAGCGGATAAGTCACACTGTGGAATTACCCTGGACTACTCGATTGGCTCTCTACTTTGAGAGGACACCCAGGATATTGCCCTGCGCAGGACCCCAGGGGGCACCCTAACCCCCCGCCCCTGCCTACGCTGGGGGGCTTCAGGGAGGAGAGGTGAAGTTAAGGTGGCCCTGGGAGCCAGAGGTCCTGAAGGTTCAGAAAAACGTAGGCACTTGGAAGTTTGTAGGTGAAGAAGTGAAGGAGTTCTGAGTGCCAAAAGGTGCTGTAAAGCTAATGCTGCTCCAGTGCAGCGCAGTAATAATGAAACGACACAAACATGGTCAAACACGTGCTTGTGAACAGATAAACAGTGACCACACATGGCACAACTCACTACATGCTCAACTGGAATGAGTCTCCACACTATATCCTGAATCTTTAGCATATAATAATAACAGAAAAGACACGTCAACATGACAAACAGCTGAAATTCACCTTTGGGCTTCCCTGTTGGATGACTTTTAGATGCATTCAACATGGCCTGCTTCTTCTGGACCTCTGTGATCATAAAACCTGTTTGGAGGACAAAATAAAATCATTTATAAACTTTTAGATCGTCGATTAATCAACTACAGGGAACTGACTGATACTTATGTCATTAACAAACATTATATAAAACTAAACCGATCAGCAAATATGAAGTACTAAATTAACTAACTGGTATAAATAAAAAGTAAACCTGAAGTAAAACTAAAACTAAAA